TGGGTCAATGGGCACTTGGGCTTCTTCCATGACCTAGCAATTATGAATTGGGCTGCAATAAACATTCTGGTACAAATATCTTTGTTGTAGTGTGATTTTTTGTTTTCTGGATATATACCTAGTAGAGGAATTATAGGATCAGATCTATTTTTAGTTCTCTAAGGGTTCTCCAGATATCTTTCCAAAAGGAACAGAATAGAGAACCAAGAGATGAACCCAGCTACTTACCATTATATGATCTTTGACAAGCCAATTAAAAACATCGAGTGGGGAAGATTCTCTGTTTAACAAATGGTGCTGGGCAAACTGGCTGGAGACCTGCAGAAGACCGAAACTGGACCCACACCTTTCACCACTAACTAAGATTGACTCTCACTAGATTAAAGATTTAAACTTAAGACATGAAATTATAAAAATACTAGAAGAAAGTGTAGGGAAAACACTTAAAGAAATCAGCCTGGGCAAAAATTTTATGAGGAGGACCCCCCGGGCAATTGAAGCAACATCAAAAATACACTACTAGGACCTCATCAAACTAAATAGCTTCTGCACAGCCACGAACAGTGAGTAAAGCAAGCAGACAGTCCTCAGAATGGGAGAAGATATTTGCTGGTTATATCTCCGACAAAGGTTTAATAACCAGAATCCACAGAGAACTCAAACATATTAGCAAGAAAAGAACAAGTGATTCCATCTCAGGGTGGGCAAGGAACCTGAAGAGAAACTTCTCTGAAGAAGACAGGTGTGTAGCCTACAGATATATGAAAAAATGCTCATCATCCTTAATCATCAAAGAAATGCAAATCAAAACTACTTTGAGATATCATCTAACACCAGTAAGATTAGCCCATATCACAAAATCCCAAAATTACAGATGCTGGTGTGGTTGTGGAAAAAAGGGAACACTTCTACACTGCTAGTGAGATTGCAAATGAATACGTTCCTTTTGGAAAGATATCCGGCTATTTTTAGAGATGAGGTCTTGCTCTGACTCAGGCTGATCTCAAACCTGTGAGCTCAGGCAATCCACCCACCTTGGCCTCCCAAGTGCTGGGATTACAGGCATGAGCCACCGCACCTGGCCTCAATTTGCCAAATTTAAATTCCACCACCCCCAATATCCACTTGTAAACTTTTACCCACTACCACAACTTAGGTTTATAAAAAAGTGAAGGGTGGCTGGACACAGTGGCTCACATCTGTAATCCTAGCACTCTGGGAGGCCAAGGCAGGTGGAAAGCCTGAGCTCAGAGACCAGCCTGAGCCAGAGTGAGACCTCGTCTCTAAAAATAACCAGGCATTGTGGCCGGGGGCTGTAGCCCAGCTACTCGGGAGGCAAAGGCAAGAGAATTGCTTAAGCCCAGGAGTTTGAGGTGCTCTGACACCACAGTACTCTACTACAGGTGACAAAGTGAGGGAGAAACATTATCAATGAGAATTATAATCTAGAGGATAAAGATAAGTGATTATAGTTATTTCCTTAAAAATCATTGAAATTGGCTGGCACCTGTGGCTCAGTGAGTAGGGTGCTGGCCCCATATACCAAGGGTGGTGGGCTCAAACCTGGCCCCGGCCAAACTGCAACAAAAAATAGCCAGGAGTTGTGGCAGGAGCCTGTGGTCCCAGCTACTTGGGAGGCTGAGGCAAGAGAATCACCTAAGCCCACAAGCTGGAGGTTGCTGTGAGCTGACACCACAGCACTCTACAGAGGGTGACAAAGTGAGACTCTGTCTCAAAAAAAAAAAAAATCATTGAAATTAGCAGATTTACACTACCCATAGATGCACAAGTGAGTTAAGTATTTGCATTTCTATTTCCTGTGGTCATTTTATATTGCTGAAATAAAAGACATTTATCACAAAGAGATCAGAAGTAATCAATGAATTATTTGATTTAATCTTGCATTTATTTTCCTATCTTTCCATGTAACTCCAGTAAAATTTCTTTTTTTTTCGGTTTTTAGCCAGTGGCTGGGTTTGAACCCGCCACCTCCAGCATATGGGGCCGGTGCCTTACTCTTTTGAGCCACAGGTGCCACCCTAAAATTTCTGATTAAGGTTCAGAGTGACTTCAAAATAATCTGCAATGCCTGAGAAAAGGCAGAGTGTTTCCCAATAATGTGGAAATATCTGGTACACCCTAAGAAGCCAAGAGCTTCCTGGACTTAGAGTAAGAAAGCCTGATTCTATTCCTGATCACACTGTGACAGAGAGCAATTCACTTAAGCTCTCTGGATGACAGTTTGAGTCCTGCAAAAAGCAGGCCAACTGGGCTGGCTGGTTTGTAAAGGCCCTTTGAATTGTAAGACTAAATGATTCTGCCTCTTTGCCTACTTGCCTCGGCAACCCCATCTATTTGCTGTCTAAGGCAAAAGTATCTTTAAAACTTCTTACTCCATAAACCTATCTTTCTCTTCCTCCATAAACTTTGTTTCACGCTTGCCTTAGGGGAACAAAAGACTAAATGATTCTGCAACTATTTCAAAAAAGACCAAAAAAATAGCAGACATTGACAAGGATGCAGAGAAAAAGGAACTTTTATACACCGTCAGTGGGAATGTAAACTACTACAGACACTGTGGAAAAAAATAGAAATTTCTTAATAAAAATAGAATGATCATTAAATCCAGCAATCCCACCACTGGGAACCTACCCAGAAGAAAAGAAATCAATGTATCAAAATAATACCTGCACTCACATGTTACGTTTATTGACTGAAGCACTATTCACAACAGCAAAGACACAGAACCAATTGTGGTGTATATACACAATGGAAAACTATACAGCCATGAATAATGAAATCATGTCATCTGCAGCAGTGAAATAAGCCAGGAACAAGCAGACAAATATGGGACAGTCTCGCTTATATGTGGGAGCTACCAAATGATTTGATCACATGGAGATGCAGAGTAGAAACACTGGTGACAGAGACGGGGAAGGGTGAGTGGAGGAGAAGGATGAGGATGAAGAGAAGTGGGATAAAGGGCACAAACACACAGGGAGGCAGAAGGAATAAATTCCATGTCCGATGTCAGAGAAGGGTGACTATGCTTTAAAAAATAAACTGTAATAAAGGTGATGGACACCCCAAATACCCTGACTTGATCACTCTGCATTATATATGTAACAAAATTTCACATGTACCCTATAAATTTGTACAAATAAGAAAAAAAGACCAAATGATGCTGGCTCTAGCCTGAGAATTAACCTGAATCCAAACACAGTCTTCTGTAAGAAGTCACTCAGTTCAAAAACACTGGGAACCTGACTTCCTGATGTTCAATATCCTGTCTCCCATCTCAGAAACAAAAAGGGGCAATGCTTTAAATTTTATCAATCTGGGTTAATAAAAAGAAAAAAAGGGTGAAAGTTATGTACAATTAGAGCATAGGAAAATTGAGGAGACAATTGAGGAGACAATGATGAGAATTAATATAAGTCAATTTTTTTTTTTTTAATTTTGAGACAGAGTCTCACTCTGTTGCCCTGTGTAAAGTGCAACCTACACATTCCTGGGCTCAAGTGATCCTCTTGCCTCAGCCTCCCAGGGAGCTGGGACTATAGGTGCCTGCCATAACACCTGGCAAATTTTTTTATTTGTAGTAGCGACAGGCTACTGACTTGCTCAATCAAGCCTCGAACACCTGAGCTCACGAGATCCTCCCACTTTAGCCTCCCAGAGCACTAGGATTACAGGCAGGAGCCACCACACCCAGCCTATTCAATTTTTTTAAACTGTAAAATTCATTTAAATTACCATAGTACTTTGGATGAGGAGAATTATGACTCAATGAGAAAACCAAGAATTTGATCCCAAAGTGATTGATAATGACTTTTTTGTTATCTTTTTTAAAAAATTAAATCATAACTGTATACATTAATGCATTTATGGGGTACAATGTGCTGATTTTATATACAATTTAGAATGCTGTTTTCTTTTCTTTTCTTTTTTTTTCTTGACCACTGGGCCACCAGGGAGATAATGACCATTTGGGGGGGAGCAAATTTTATTAATTTTTGTTTTTGTGAATGGTATCAAAGCGTATATAAATAATAGAAAAGCACATATATCCTAAGTGTAAGATTAAATGTTTACATTAAATCTTACAAAGGTAATACATACGTGACTAGCATCCCAACAATAACAGAACATGACAACACCCCAGAAACACCCCTGGGCTCCCTCTATGTCCCACTATTCAAGGGAAACCACTATTCTGAATTTGAACATTCTGCTTTTGCACTTTATTTAAGTGGAAGCACACAGTACGCTTCCTTCTGTCTTTTGAGAGTCAACATCTGTTTATGATATTCATTCAGGTTGCTGTATATAGTTGTGGTCTGTTCAGTCTCATCACGATGGACTATTCCATTCTGTGAATAGACCCCAACTTATTAGATCATTCCATATGGAGGGATATTTGGGTTATCTTTCATTCTGAGCTATTAAAATGCTTGTGACTTGGATGACCAGAATGTTTTAAAGCTGAATTTTGTATAATTAAATTGCTTTTTTTTAAAAAAAAAAAAGTGTATATCCATTAAATATGTGATAAATAAAGAATTTAAATGAGTACCTGGAATGCTCTGGCAGTCTCTTGTAGCTCAGCTTCAAGCTTTTGGATCTCTTCCTTTAGCTGAATATTTTCCTTTGTAATTTCACCAATTAATCCCTAAAAAGCATCAAATAGCACCAAAAGAATTAAACAGTCCTAAACTCATTTTTACAAATGAATTAAAGACAATACATTTCTCTCATCCTGAACAAGATCCTAAACAAGGCAAAAAGAGACATTAGACAGTTTCAGAATAAATATGACTTTGTAAACAATGCATTTTTAAGTATTTTTTATTTTTTGAGACAGGGTATTACTTTGTTACTTTTGATAGAGTACTGTTTCGTCATGGCTCACAGCAACCTCAAACTCTTGGGCTCAAGGGAGTCTCTGGCTTCCCAAGGAGCTGGGACTACAGGTGTCCACCATAGTGCCCAACTATTTTTAGTGAGGGGGGTCTCACTCTTGTTCAGACTGGTCTTGAACTCCTGAGCTCAAGCAATCCACCTGCCTCTGCCTCCTAGAGTGCTAGGATTACAGGTATGAGCCACTGTGCCGGCTTGCATTTCTTAAAATATTTTATATCATCTCTTGTCTAGTCTAACACTGCCAACTATCAACATCTCCATTATATAAACCAGAAAACCACTTTTCACACTGGATCAAAGTCAGAAATTTTTATAGTAAGGTTAGGATTGAGACTCACGTATTCTGAATCTTAGTTTAGTGCTCTACCAACTCCCTTCCTAGCTATTTGTAAGTATAAGCTGACATTTATTTATTTATTTACTTACTCACTTTTTTATTTTTGAGACAGAGACTCACTCTGCTACCCTGGTGTTGAGTGCCCCATCATAGCTCCCACCAACCTCAAACTCTTGGGTTCAACCAATCCTTCTGCCTCAGCCTCCCGAAAAGCTGGGACTGTAAGTGCCCACCAGAAAGCCTGGTTAGTTTTTCTGTTTATAATAAAAACTGGGTCTTACCAGCTCAGGCTGGTCTCAAACTCCTTAGGTTAAGCAGTCCACCCACCTCAGCCTCCGAGAGTGCTAGGATTACAGGTGTGAGCCACTGTGTCCAGCCATAGCATGACTTTTAAATTGCACTATAATTGAGGACATCTTACTCTGGGACAGTTTAAAAAAAATCAGCTGTGATTCCAATAGTATAGCTGCCTTAAGAAGCCAAACATATGGCCTTAGGTAAGTGGTTTAAGTTACCTGAGTTTTTGTTCCCTCTTGAGTCTGATCAGATAATTGCTAACTAAGCTCTTAATTTTAGGTGCAAATACAAGAAATGGGAAAGTGAGTGAGAAAGCAGCCTTGTAAGAGAAAGAAGAGAAATATAACTCTTCTTGTAAGGCTTCAATAACATAATGGAAGTTAATTTTTTTTTCTTTTTGTAAAGACAGAGTCTCACTTTGTCACCCTTGGTAGAGTGCCGTGGTGTCACACAGCTCACAGCAACCTCCAACTCCTGGACTTAAGCGATTCTCTTGCCTCAGCCTCCCAAGTAGCTGGCACCACAGGTGCCTGCTACAGCGCCTGGCTTGCAGTTTGACTGGGGCTGGGTTTGAACCCACCACCCTTGGTATATGGGGCCAGGGCCCTACCCACTAAGCCACAGGTGCCACCTAGAAGTTATAAATGTTTGAAAAGGCTCAAGGCCCTCCAAATTCAAAGTAATATTGGATATATAAAACATTCCTAACTTAATCTGTCATGGGATTTGTTTTTAAAAATGCCTTACTGGGCTCAGCAACTGCGGCTTAAGCGGCTAAGGTGCCAGCCACATACACCTGAGCCGGTGGGTTCGAATCCAGCCCAGGCCCGCCAAACAACAATGACGGCTGCAACCAAAAAAACTGCAGGGCGCTGTGGTGAGCACCTGTAGTCCTAGCTACTTGGGAGGCAGAGGCAGGAGAATGGCTTGAGCCCAGGGGTTGAAGGTTACTGTGAGCTGTAATGCCACGGCACTCTACTCAGGGCGACAATCTAAGGCCCTGTCTCCCCCCTCCCAAAAAATGCCTTACTGCAAAACTAATAGATACAAATTAATTTTTAATAATACCCAGTAATTTTCATTTTTACCTCATTTTGTTCATCTTTCATAACTTCATTTGGCCAATTCTCCTTAAGAACTTGGTTTTTGTTATCTTCATCAGCTGCCATGATTTCCTAATTATTATAAAAAATAAATATTGTAGAAATAGCATACATGTAAACAAATTCAAGACAAAGGAAACAACAGCTCTGGTTACAGAAGAAACGTCTCTTCTTTGCTCTTTTTCCCTATCATGAAAGCCTTTATTATTAAGTGGCTTATATCCCAAAAAAAGGTCTGTATTTCAAATACATTTCACACCTATAAAAATAATGGGCATTACTACTCCTTTGTAGTTCATACACCAATCATAATACTATGTTCAATTGTAAAAGACTACTATTTTGGTATTCCAACCTTTTTAAAAATTTTGATTTAAATTTTTAATTCTCAGTATTTTACTCCACAAATGTAAACAAAATCAAAAGGTCTCCTACACAGAGTTTCTCTCCAAAGGTATCTTTACCTGGAGTTTTCTTTCACAAATGTTCCCCCTAGGTCCATAAATTAGAATGGGGAAAAAATTACATATTTATTTCTAATAACCTCTAACTGAAACTTAGTATTCTCTTTAATTATGAATATGGCAACAAACTACAGTAGTATTCACAGCATCTGTGACAATGACAAGTACAAAGCATAGATATTTTCATAAAACAATAAATACTGCAAATATGCTGAAATATTGTTTGTATTTGACCTGGCTTCTACATTATTTATTAAACATTGCTAGGTATTATAATATATTGTAGTATGTTGATATATATTACTTATTACTATTTGTAAAATTTTCTTTTTAAATATTCTGATAACCATATTTAAATTGGAGCAGTCTAGCGAAGGAGTCCGTGGCACCAAAAAAGTTAAGAACGCCCACCTATATATACATTTACTGAGATACAAAACTAGGACAAAGGAGACCTATCATGACTCTTTTTATGTTTCTAAGTGTACATTTATAACCCATCTGCAATATAATTTTCTAAGGTTTCAAGTGGCTAAGTTCTCTTTATCCTTGAAAGAAAAAGATTCCTATTCTTCTTTAAAGATAAAACAGAAGACTAGCAAAGATTAGTCATATCTTAGTTTACCCAGTTTACCCAGTGCCAATAAGAGTGTCAAAATCAGAGGGTGTCACATAACACCCAGATCTTGGTTTCAAAGCCTGTTCTCCAACTAAATAAACCAGGGTTCCCTGGAGCAATGGCTGATTCCAGGCCTGGGACAGAAAATATACAAAGTAAGTCTGGAGTATCTTGTAGCGCCAGAAAATTAAAAAGCACTCAGAAAACATACGTACACACACTGATGGGAGACTATGAAAGGGACACAGGAGCCCACTGAAAGAACTCCCAGTGGTCAAAGGTATACACAGAAAACTAATGAAGTAAGCAAATAGCTGACCACTTCCCTACATTAACCACCTCCTTAAGTTGACCTTGATTTTCATAAACTGGACATAAACTACATGTACCTATCAGTACAGTAGGCCAATTCCTTATGTTGACCATGTCCGTATGTTGACCCTGGGTGGTCAACTTATAGAGGTAATAGGAGCCAGCTATTTTACTGTCAGAGCGGGTAACTATAAATAAGAAAGGGAGTAAACTAGAGTGAATCCTGTTGATTGGAACTACACATACCATTTCATGGTTTACAAGAGATATTAATGTGCACGTGTGTGTTTTGTATATAAACAAATATGTAGCAGCCCGGATAGCCTATGGCTAAGAGGAGCGAGAGTTATAAGTAACACCTGTAGCTGGATAATGGCATGCCTTGGTGAAAAGGGAATGGGGAGGGATTTAGCTCTCCTAACAAGCATGAGAGCTCTCGAGATGAGAACATTAGTGAATTGGCAGTCTCTATACCTGTGGAGTTAAGCGCCAGGAGATCAGCTCTATATTAGGCTGCAGGAGAAGGCAGTCAGGAGCGTGCGGACGTTCTATCATGGACTCGCTTTCTCTGACTCTGTCATTTCTCCTGTCTGCAGAATGCCAGCATGGTGTCTCTCTGCTAAAGATTACTAAGCTCTGCTAGAAGACTGCTAAAATCTATTCTTCTAAGACTGCTTCTCCCTCAAAGACTCTCTCTCTCTCTCTCTCTCTCTCTCCCTAATGCTAAAGTAAATAGCCCGCAGGCACCTGAGTGAGCTAACAGCATAGTGGTCTGAGCTTAGAGCCAGACTTTGGTTTGTAAGTCTCCACAAAGAATGAAACAGGGCAACTTGGTGCCTGTGGCTCAAGCAGCTAAGGCGCCAGCCACATACAGCTGAGCTGCTGGGTTTGAATCCAGCCTGGGCTGCCAAACAATAATGACGGCTCCAACCAAAAAATAGCCGGGCATTGTGGTGGGCACCTGTGGTCCCAGCTACTTGGGACGCAGAGGCAGGAGACTCGCTTGAGCCCAAGAGTTGGAGGTTGCTGTGAGCTGTGATGTAACAGCACTCTACCCAGGGTGACAGCTTGAGGCTCTGTCTCAAAAAAAAAAAAAAGAAAGACAGGGCTCATTGGAGAAATGGCTGGCCCCAGGCAGGACAGAAAAAAATATCAGATGAGCCTGGGACATCTTATGATGCCAATAAAGCAAGAAGACATATCAAAAGGACATAGAATCCACCTTGAGTTGGTTTTCACTGGCCAAATCTGGGAATAAATTAAAGATTAAAGTAATGGCAGTAATAATTAAATCCACTGAGTAAGGCTAGGCACGGTGGCTCACGACTGTAATTGTAGCAATCTGGGAAGCCATGGTAGGAGAATCACTTGAGCTCAGGAGTTTGAGACCAGCCTGAGCAAGAATGAAACCCCGTCTCTACCAAAAATATAAAATTAAACTGGGTGTTCTGGCAGGTGCCTGTGGTCCCGGCTACTCCAGAGGCTGAGGCAGGAGGATTGCTTGAGCCCAGGAGTCTGAGGTTGCTGTGAGTCAGTCTGATGTCATGGCACTCTAGCCTGGATGACAGAGTGAGACTCTCTCTATATATTTTAAAAAAAAAATCCATTGAATCAAACAGAAAACTAAGGCCAAACAAATTGGAGATTTTGACAAAGAAAGAAATATTCAGTCAGTTTCAAAATACTTGCCCACAAAATACTAATTTCAAAAAGAGAAAACAAGCAACTTTACAGTGAAGAAGGCTGGCAGACGCCACAATAATGAGATAACTGAGTAAATAATGGGATACATCAAAATCATGTCACAAATAATAGGATTCACTAAGGAAAACGCAGCATGACTTCAGTAATATTCCTGCCAAAGATGTGTAATCTGAATCTAAGCATGAGGACACAAACCCAAACCGAGGACACACAACTGGCCTGTTCTAAAAGTTTCAAGTTCACGAAGGCCAAGGAAAGACCAACAGCCTGAAGGAGATTAAAGAGACGTCACAATTAAATGCAAAGCATGATTCTGAACTGGTTCCTTTTGCTATTGTCGAGACTCAGAAAACAATACCCCCAAATATGATCCTTTGACATGCCGAACTGAAGAAGCCTCCAGGTCTCTCGACTTTCTCCTCTTCCTCCTGTCTCTCATTTCTCTGTGTCTCCAAAGCACACATGAAGTTGTTCTCTTAAGTTCCCTTAACTGTCTAAAGCCCTGACCTGCCAAGGAAGAAAACAATTACTTCTGGTCCCTTCCCTGAGTTTTCATTAACTAAACTCATATCATAAGAAGAAAGAATGAAATCTGTCAACACACCGAGACAGACCTGCACAAACCAGTCTGCTCTGCAGGCCCAACAGACTTTGCCCCAAGTCATTGTGTGTTCTTCAAGCTCATTAAATTCCCCTAAATCACTACCCCTAAAATCACCCATTCTCCATCTCCCTGTCCCCTAAAAAGTAGTGTATTTGCCCCATTGTGTATGGGGTAATCACTCAGTAATTTTCCCCCATGCACAATAATAAATTTGTATGCCAATAAATTTGTATGCCATTTTCTCTATTAATCTATCTTTCATCCATTAACTTCTTTAGGAAATCTTCAGAGGCCAAAGTGGAAATTTTCCCTTGCCTCTTACACTATACAAAGTATGATTGGGAAAACTGGTGAAATTTGAATTGGACATGATTAGTTGACAGTAACATGTCACTATTAATTTCCTGATTTTGACGACTGTGTTGTGGTTATGTGGGAGCGAGCCTTTTCCTGCAGAAAATACATGCTCAGGTATTCCAGGGTTGTGGGTCATCAGGTTGGAATTTATTCTTAAATAATTTAGGCAAATGAACAGTTGTTTTACAGTACTTACAACTTTTCTGTAAGCTTGGGATGGTTTGAGATGATATGTATGAACGAGACACAGAGAAAGGGGCTTCAAGGAGGATGGGAGGAAAGCCTGGCCTACTGACTGAGGAAGTCTGGAGGGTCCATAGGAGTATGCACCACTCAGCCATGCTTGACAAAAAATGAGAAAAGAAGCAAGGCGCCTGTGGCTCAAAGGGGCAGGGCACCAGCCCCATATACCAGAGGTGGTGGGTTCAAACCCGCCCCCGCCAAAAAATGAAAAAAAAAAAAAAAAAAAAAAGATAGAGAAAGAAAAGAATATGGATATGACATAACCAAGGTAACCAATGACCAATAGAAAAGGGCAATCCTGCCTGGAGGTGCAGTGAAGCCAATGAAAGATGAGCAATTTCAAACAAAGAGGAAGAGGTCTTCATACCTCTGCACTGCCGCTGTGTCTCATCTGTCTCGCCCCTTCTTCATGAGAGGGACCCACTTCCAACTCTTTTCGGAAGTGCTCTAAACTTCCTTTCTTCTTCTTTTTTTTTTTTGAGACAGAGTCTCACTTTGGTGAGACTTCGGTAGAGTGCTGTAGTGTCACAGCTGACAGCAACCTCCAACCCATGGGCTTAGGCGATTCTCTTATCTCAGCCTTCCGAGTAGCTGGAACCACAAGCACCTGCCACAACACCCGGCTATCTTTTGTTGTAGTTTGGCTGGGGCGGAGTTTGAACCTGCCACCCTCGGTATATGGGGCCGGCACCTATTCATTGAGCCACAGGCGCAGCCCAACTTTGTCTTTGTTCTTAAATAAAATTTCTCTTTGTTACACTTAAACTTGTGCAGGTCACTTTTGCTTTCTGTTCACACTGCCTGTGCTGCTCCAGTTTTATTTTCAGTTTCCACTCACTTTTGCTTTCGATTACCACCATGTCTGGATAAACTTTCTAGCTTAGCTGAGTAATCAAACCAGGTCAGCGGGGATTCGGGGAAACGGGGTCCTTGACCTC